ACTTAATACTAAGTTTTATAAATTGTTTTTGTCAAAAGAAATTTGAAATTTGAGGACACTACTCCCGCACTAAGTTTATAGGCCACAATTTTTTGAGTCTTTTATTGATCCTTGGTTGCAGTAACTGTTCCAATAAGGGGTTTGTGTGGGTTTCTAGGACTTCATGGTGTTTGTTAGCTCTCTCCTGGATTACTTCCTGAACCGTTGGTATGTGTAGATCTGTATGAATTGTATGATTTGTTATATACCACGGAGCATCTACAATTTGCCGGAGTATTTTTGATTGGTTTCTTTGGATTAATAGTACATTTGTTTTAGAAGCACAGCCCCATAGCTCTACTCCATATGTCCAGATAGGTCGGATGACTGCCTTGTATATTAGAATTTTATTTTCTGTTGATAGTGTAGATTTTCTTCCTATTAGCCAATTTAGTTCTCTTGCTTTGATGTCTATTTGTTTCTTCTTTTTTTTTAATATGCTCCTTCCACGTCAGCTTGTTATCTAGATGTAATCCTAAGTATTTTGCCGTTTCCATCTGTGGTATCTGCACATTATTTATCACAACTGCTGGACATAATTGTTTACGGAGGGCAAATGTTACATGCACCGATTTGTTTTCATTTACTTTAATTTTCCATTTGTTTAGCCATTGTTGTAGTTCAAACAGGTGAGTCTGGATATAATCTGATGCTATTTGAGGGTTTTCATGAGTCATGACTGGATAGAATTGCAGTGTCGTCTGCAAATGTTCCTGTTGTTGTATTTTGTGTCATTGGCAGGTCTGCTGTGTACAGAATGTAGAGCAAAGGCCCTAAAACACTACCTTGGGGCATTCCAGAATTGATGGGGAAGTGGTCTGATGTTTCTTCACTTACTTTGGTTTGGAATGTTCTCTCGCTCAGGTATGATTTTAGTATATTAAAATAGGCTGTAGGGAGTGTTTGTTTGATTTTATATAGTAATCCAGGATGCCATACTTTGTCAAATGCTTGACTAACGTCAAGGAAGACCGCTGAACAGTATTGCTTGTTTTCAAATGCATTGTTAATAACTTGTGCGATTCGATGGACCTGCTGTACCGTGGAGTGAGCGCGACGAAAACCAAACTGATGTTCCGGAATCCAATGTTGGGGCTCAAGGTCCTCATTAATTCTCCGAAGTAATAGTTTTTCTAAAAGTTTGGAAATAACTGGAAGCAAGCTTATAGGACGATAGGAGGCAACATCCGTTGGATCTTTTCCTGGCTTACCAATCATTATGATTTGTGCAACTTTGAGACATTTTGGCCAATATTCAAGCCTCAGTATCGCATTATAAATATACGTTAATAATACAATGCCCTTTCTTGGGAGTTCACTCAGCATTTTAGCTGTTATTTGATCAATACCAGGGGCCTTTTTGGGATTGAGCTTTTTTATTTCAGCAGTTATTTCCTTTGGGGTAAATGGTTTAATTTTTCGATATGGCTCTAAAGGAATGGATATATTTTCTTCAATTTCATTATCTGGTTCATTGTCTAGTGGTTGAAAAACTGTGGTGAGGTGTTCTGCGAATAGGTTAGCCTTTTCTTTGTCACTCTTCGCCCAAGGTTCAGCATTATTTTTCCTTATTGGTGGTACATTTAGTTTAGGCTTCCTTGAGTTTTTGATTGGTTTCCATATAGAATTATCAGTTCTAGTTAGATTGGATATATATTGCTCAAATTGTTCATTTCTTACTTCTCTAAGTTTTGCCTTTAACCTATTACTGAAGCGATTGTACACATTTTTATCGGCGGGTGTGTGGCTCCGCTGCCAATTTGCTCTAGCACGTCTCTTCTGTGTAATTATTATTTTAATTTCTAGTGGTATGTCATTATTTAATTTCTTTTGAGGAACTTTAGGTGTCACTTGCTGTACAGCTTTTTGCAGATTTATTATTAGTTGTTCTGTAGCTATTTTTATTTCTTCAGGTTCTTTGAGTCGAATTTTGAGGTCTATGTTTTCATTAAGTGTCTTACGATAAGCATCCCAGTTTGTTCTACTACTGTGTAGCCTTGGTGTGCGTTTTCTGGGTATAACAGATGTGCCCACTGTTATTAGTATAGGGGAATGGTCAGATGATAAGTCAAAGTTAGGTACTACTTCAATATATGCCGGGTTGATTCCATGTGCAACAAAAAAGTCCAATAGGTCAGGTATTTTGTTCGGGTCGGTAGGCCAATAGGTTGGTGTTCCTGTCGAAATGATTGAGTATCTGTTGTCCTCTATTGTTTGATTTAGTTCTCTACCTTTAGTTGTTATTAGACGTGAGCCCCATCTAGTGTGCTTACTGTTGTAGTCTCCCCCGGCTATGAATTTTGTTCCCAATGTTTGAAAGTATTTTTGAAAGTCTGCCTTTTTTATATTGTGCCGAGGTGGGCAATAAACTGCTGATAGTGTCAGTTCATATGGCAAAGTTGCTACTTTTACTGTGGTTGCCTGTAAACAGTTTTCTTGATATTTTAATTCTTCATGATGTTGGATGGAGCGCTTAACGAGGACAGCAGTACCTCCGTGTGCTGTACCATCAGGATGATTGGTGTAATATGTTTCATAATGAGGTATTCTGAAATATGTTCTTTCTGTGAAGTGTGTTTCGCTTATTAGGAGTACATCAATTTGATTGTTTACTAGGAAGATTTTTATTTCCTCTTTATGTTGCACTAACCCATTGGCGTTCCACAAAGCGACTCTTAGGAATTTACCCATTAATGAAGTTTATTTATGAACGTTGTGAGCATGTTCAATACCATGCTGTTTTGCTGAATAAGTTGATTGAACATGACCTTGAATTCATTTAGAAATTGTGATAACGTATTATTTAAATCTTTTGTCGATTCACTGTTATTGTTTGATGTGTTTGGATTGTTGGCTACAGCATTAGCGTAGCTTCTGTATTGCTGACTAAAATTGATTGGTTGTGTTTGTGGCTGTATAGTGTGTGAGTTGTTGGTTTGGTCTGGGTTAGGATAGGTGTTTACGTTAGGTGATGGCGCTCTTGGAGCTCTAGTCTTGTTTATAAAGTTGTTTCTATGGATGAGTTGTTGGTAGTGTTCACATCCTCTATAATTTGCCGGATGATCTTTCCCGCATAATGCGCATTTAGCTGGGGTGTCCTTGGTCTTTCCACAGCTGATGGTACTGTGTGCTCCACCACATTTAACGCATACAAATGGTCTATTGCAGTAGGCTTTTGAGTGGCCGTATAACTGGCATCTCATGCACTGAACGATGTTATTTTTATTATTATTCGGAGGTTCTATTTTTACGACGTTATTTTGAAGTCTTTCAATTTTGTACACGTCTTTGTTATTACTTGCTGGTTCTAAGTCCACAAAGAACATATTTAATGGTTCTTTGGTTATTCTGTGCTTCGCATTTATAATGTTTCTAACTTTGTGTCCTTGCTGTGTTAGTTCTTCTGTAATGTCATTTATGTCTACCGTGTAATGTATGTGTTTAATGACGACTCTGTAAGCTCTTTCTTCCTTTAATTGATATGTATGGTGTACTATGTTATTCTCTTTAAAGTATTTTGCTAGTTTTCTGTAACCATCTGTAGTATTGCATTTTATTTGGACAATATTGTTAGCTAGGCTTTTGGTACTATATTGTTCGTCTTCTAGACAGTCTCTTATTTGTGTTATCATGCTTGGATAGTTTACCACTCCATAAACAAATATTGGGGGGGGGGGGGGGGTTGGATTTTGAGGTTTGGGATTTTTGGTGCTGGTACTGGCCGGAGTTTCCTGTATGTTGTCATTGTCATTTGCTACTAGAGGAGTGAATTTGTTGCTTACTGATATAGCGTTATCTACATCTTCGTTGTTTTTCCTTCTTGTTACCTTTTTTCGTTTAGTGCCCTTTACTTTTTGCCATGTTATGTCAGTGGATTGTTCCATTTCCTCTTGTCCATCTTCGCTAGTGGATGACATTCTCAGTAATTGGTGATTGCGGTACTCGTGCTGCATTGAATTTACTGTTCCAGTTTGTGACAGGTTGTAATATTGTTGCTGTATTTGAGGGGCAGTGTTAAGGAATGCTTGTTGGGGTATTATATTTTGTGGGGTGTTATTGTAGTTTATTTGATGCAATGGGATTGTTGCCTGCTGTTGATTATTTTGAAATTGTAAATTTGTTTCATTATTAAGGTACGCCACTGGCGTATTGCATGGAAAAGGGTGTACATACATGTTCTTGCTGGAGCTGACCACTTATTCACTTGTTTTTATATTTCCTTGGAATGTAATACAATAAATAAAGTTTTGTTTGAGTTATCAGTATCACTAACTTGACCCGCAGGTCGACGATATAATTCATATCTCACTTGTTCACTCAGCGCGGTGTGCAACACGCAACTTTGCCAAATTTAAACTTAAAAGGAAAGAAAATTTAGTTTATATGAGCATAGCTGCTGAAAACACCTACAAAATCGTTTTTTCAAAGGTAGCTTGCGAAGGGAACTTAATTGAATTAATTGAAAAAGATGAATATCTTGAATAAAGGAAAAAAAATAATGCAGTTAACTTTCATTCGCGTGTTCCGAAAACTGGTTTGTGAACCAATTTCCATCTGTTTCTCACTCATATATTGATATGTGATAGATAATAAAGAACTAGTTTTAAGGGGAAGGTGTTCAATTGATTATAGTATCTCCCTCAGAACGTCAATTGATGTTTATTTAATTTATTCAAAGAAGATTTCTATTACAAACTTGAATCTATAATTTTATAAAATATAAAAATATAAAACAACCCCTGGTCAACTCAACAATTATTATATAAAAACTCTAGTTTTAATTACCTACCAGAAAAGTACAAAGAAGTAACTAGGTGGGTAAATCAGTCACGTAGACGTAGTTCCTTTTAGAGAATGGCTGAAATCGAAAATGAAATTAGGTAGGTACACCTTGTATAGGGAGAGATGAACCGAAATAGATTTTATCTTGAAAAATGTATTTACATCCATTAAGTGATCACTTATAAATTAGTCGATACTACAAAATATCACAAATTAATCTTAAATCGCTACTTAACTATAACAATGTTTTATAACAGACCAGCACTTATGTATCCAGAACATGATTTAAATAAGCAATATAACATATAGCTAAGCGTAAAATTTCAATTTTAGACAGTTTTTTATCCGGTGGAAGTGTCGGCAAAAGCTTCCTCAGTTCCGCAAAGGCGACATTAAAGGCTTCGACTCGAATCCTTTCCCTCGTTGCATGCGCCGTTCTGTACTTTTGGGTGGCACGTCGTCGACGTCTTCTTTCCTCTCTGCTTAAATTACCCATATCATTTCTTTCTCTAGAAACATAACAAGAATTAGTATTTAGAATTAAAATACCGCACCCTATCCGTTTTAAATTATTTTAAAAGCTTTCCTTATGCGAAAATCGATCATCGAGAAGAACCATAACTTGAAATTTGATCCCAACATGCACATCAGTTTTATGAGCGACATGTGTCACGCTATACGCCGATATAAATATTTATATAAATTTCCTGGTTGAAACATAAATTTGGTTTACCAAAAGAACGTTGCTCTATTTCCAATGTAACATCTATTTGAAATTCAATTTAGAAATTCGCATTTTGCACAAGGATCATTGTAAAAAGCACTATATTGAAATAGATAAATCGATAGACTCTACGGAATTTAGGTCAGTAAGGAATGCACATGTTAATGTTACTTAGCAGAAATTTGTCAGAATTTGCTAGTTAGAACTTTTGTGCTTTTTAATTGGTAATTTGGTGGTTGGGCTCGAGAATGTTAAACTCTACACGAAGAAGACGAAAGACAAGCAGACCCTGATTGTTACAGTCAACATATTTCGCTACCTATTGTTCGTCCAAAGTAGGCGTAAGTGGAATAATAAAGTTTATCCACGGAGACCTACCAGTGGTATACTATAATAATACGTTACATTATCATGATCATTTAGCTCAATAAGTTTATTGACAATAACATTATTTTAGCCGTGTTTTGTAACGGGAGCCCATTAACGCATTTTCTTTGTTTTTTGAAATACGGTCTTGACTTTTTAAATGCGTTTGAAAACTTAAGGCGCCTGTGAGTCGTGGAATACGGCGGGATTGTCCCAGGTTACAGAAAAAAATTTGTTGTTCTGAGATAATAATTCGCGTTGAGGCGTAGGTCAAGTTAAGTCAACCCCCTGTAAAATTACCTGTTACATCCCTGGAAAAATCCTTGATTCCTTAATACCAATCTGTAATGCTTCACCTGCATTTGACCGTGTTTTGAGCAAACGCGACCGTAAAAGTTTTGGGGACAAACACGTTACCTTCAAAAAAGAAAATCGAGTTGTTGCTGTTTGGGTCTTCCCGCTGTGACAATACCTTTACTGCCTGGCCAGTCAGAGAAAATAGAAGAAATCTTTCGATCACCACCCGACGGAAGTTTTTTGTTTGCGAGGGTGGCAAGAATTATCCCCGCAACTGCAAGATGGCTTCTTCTGGATGAATTTCCCTCAAATCACTAAACTTTTGTATTTCTTCAAATCTTCCCCTTAGCTTCCTGGAATTAGTGGTAAATCACCGTAGAATATCTAGAAATCTATTTATGAACCTTCTATGAATAGTCTTGAATCCCCAACCTTAAATGCTATGTAGTCTGTCTCGTTATTTCTTGGAGTCAGTTGTAGATCTTCCTTAAACTTTTATAAACAATTTTCGATCAATATTCTTCGAACCATTCTCAACCCCCACAATTTTTTTGAATCTTTTCCGTAGCTTTCTGGAATTAGCTTTGGATCGCCCTTGAATTTTCTTCGAACCTCTTAAAGTCTTGCATGAATTCTCCCAGAATGTTCCTTGAATTGTCTTCAATTCCTTTGTAATTTTCTGTACAAAATTTTGCCTTTGCATCTTCCATTATAAATATTCTTAAACATGCCCAACCCTAATTTTTTCTATTGTTAAATCTTAGAATTTTTTTCAAATCTTCAGGTGAACATTTAATTGAGTCTTTTTCGAACCAAATTTTTTTTGTATTATTCAGTCATCTTGGATCGTGACGAATCCCTTTACGAATTTTTTTTAAAACAATTTCTAATCTTCAATGTGCACTTCCTAGAATATTTCCCGTGGCTTCTTGAACTCAGCTGTGAATCTTTAGTAATATCCTTTGAATCTCATTAAAGTTTTCCGTGCGTTTACCCACAATCATCCTTGGATTGTCAGCACTCTTACCAATTTTCCATGGATTTTCTTCTACTAACCCCTAACCCTAAATTGACCGTAATCTAATCCGTAGCTTCCTGGAATCAGTTGTAAATCTTCTTTGACACACCATGAAACTTTTGTAGGTCTCTGGAATCAGCTGTGACGCTCTATGAATCCCTTTTAAATTTTCTATGAATCTTTCTGGAACCACCCTTGGATCACCCCTTTTCTGTGTAAAGTCTTTTTTTAATCCAATTCAAATTTTCAGGAAATTTTTCTAGAATTATCCACTTTACAAATTTTCCATGCATTTTTTTAACCTTAAGTTTTATCTAATTTGCCTCGTAGCTTCCGCCAATCATCTGCAAAACTGTTTTGAATTTTCAGTGAATTCCCGATTTATTTCCTCGAATCTTCCTATATTCCTGAAATCAGCTGTGAGTATTCCGTGAATCTTTTTCGAACCTCCTTTAAATGTTTTTAAAATTTTGCTAGAATCACCTCACGGACCCCTTTATGAATTTTCTACGGATTTTCTTCTAATCTTTCCAAACCTTAAATTTCCTCTAATTTGTACGTGGATTATCCTTGAACTTCTTTCGAACATCAAATTATCAGTGTATTTTCTTAGAATCACCTTTTATCCCTTTGTAATTTCTCGAGACATTTGCTAGAATCACCAGTTGATCCATGGACCTTCTTACAAAATCTCTAACCCTAAATTTTCTCATATCTTCCCCATGAATTTTTGGAATCAGTTGCAATTTTTCGAATCCCATTCAAATTTGTAGTGAATTTTTCTAGAATCATCCTTGGCGTGTCACGTATCCCTTTACGAATTTTCCACGGACTTTCTTGAAATAATCCCTGACCTTAAATTTTTCAAATCTTCCTCCTAGCTTCCTGGAATCAGCTGTAGCTCTCCTTTCAATCTTCCTAAACCTGTTGAGTGTTTAATGTATTTTGTTCGAAATCCATGAATGTTTTCAAATCCTTCACGTAGCTTTTCAGAATCAGATGTTAATGTGCCTTGACCCTTTTTCGAATCCCCTTAAAATCAGTGAGTTTTCTTTAAATCGTCCTTGAATATTCACGTAGTTAGCATGGATTTTTTTCGAACAATCCCCAACCGTAATCTTTCTCGTAGATTTTGCTAGAATCAATCCTAGATTCTCATGAACGCCTTTATGAACTATCCAATGATTTAAAAAAAATCTACCTAAATTTTCATGTTTCCCCGTAACTTCCTAAAGTTACTTGTTAATCTTTATTGAATCATTTTCGAATGCCCTTCAAATTTCTTCAGAATTGTTCTAGAATTATTCTAGAAGCGCTACGCTACCATGGATTTTATTGGAATAATTTCTAACTTTTTAGTAGAATTATTCGAAAGAAAAAAATCCCCTGGTTTTGTCCGTATGTTCCTCGTCTAACTCGAGAACAAAAAGAGACCACCCATTCTGAATCTGATAGTGCGAGTAGACGAAAATGGATAGAACGTGAGACCTTTTTTGCTTTTTATGGGAAATATCAATTTTGTTCTGCCTACATGCGCAAAAAGGAATATAACATTTTTTTAAAATTGAATGATAATTTTCTATTTCCAGTCTATCGTACTGTAGGGCTTCCTGCGTAGTCAGCTTAACCTATTGTAGCGAATGTTCCAGAAATTCCGATAGACATCGAAGCGCCATGAAAGATTAGTCATCGGCGATAAAGAACGAAGGCGTATATGATGCAATCTTTTATGGAAATATGACGTGTTTGTTCTAGAACATTCTGAAGCTTTCTTGAGCATTCGGGAACATTTCAGAAATCGTGTTGTTTGCTATCTAATCAAATCGAATTGTGTTTCGCGTCAGTTCCAATTTCGACACCAAAGTAATAAATAGTTCGCTCGGTTATAAATTGTGTATTAGTGAATGATAAATAATATTTGAATTGTTGTAAATCGATTCGCATTTCAAGAATGTTATAAGTTTATTGTTAATTAAATAAAACACGTGATTAAATTTACGTTACACTATAATTTAATCACTGGAATCGAATTAAATTATGCTTATTATTATTATAGTCCAATTCATGCGAATTACAGCAGATTTGGAGGTATCGCCAAGAGTGCATCAAAACGATAAATTCACAGAGGTTTCGGAAAATGGACAATCCAATGAAATTAATAAATTATATGAAAGATAATGGGAAAATCCCTACCAACGTAACGCAAATGCCCACCCTATATCCTCTCTGACAAGTTTTTCCGATTATGACTTCTTTCTCGATTTTGTGACGATTTAGTCTTACCCATGGTAGTACCACGAGTCGAACCCGAGGGCTACACTCCAGTTTTGGAATCGTGTTGTTTTCGCGAGGTCTAGAGGTGTTCGTGTAGTACGTCACCAGGAATGGTAAAGATCCTGGCACCGTAGGCGGTGTAGTGGTAGTTTAAAGGTTGAGATAGATGATTGAATTTTAATAGGATCGTGTAATGAGTTTTAAGTTCCCTCTGTATGTTCTTTCAACCGTGCCGCTTCTCGGTCATCACAGAAACAGGGTAAGATTAAGGTGGCTTCTGCCTCGTTTAGAGTCCAGCACTTCTGGCCTCGGATCAACGGAAGTGGCGTCCCTAGGTATAGCTGTTTGTTTGCAGCGTCAGAGTTGGACTCTTTCCAAGACACGATGCTATTTTCCTTTCTTCAAAAAAGGTACATTCGCTATAGTAAATAGGACATAGTGGATGTAGGCGAGATTTTAATTTGATTTTTAATAACTGGAACGGTTTTAAGGGTGGTCTGGAGGTGAATATTTGGGTGTTGCGCAAATATTTTAAACTTGGTATTACAAGATTATTCCAATGACATTTTCGTCTTCCGACGGATTGCCTAATTTTTGCAATCGTGTGAAATTTTCAAAAAAGCAAGCCACATTTCTTTACCATTTGGAGAAGTTTCCATCCATTGATTGATTTTTGTTTGTCAACTTTTTAGAGACATGCCAGCCGAAACTTGCGTATTCGGGTTGAACGCTTCGGGGATTTCGCTACTGTAAATTACTATAAATAAGGTTATCATAATTTTTCAGTATTTTTGTATTACTGCTTTACTTTAACAAGCGTCAAAAAATTAATCATTATCGGTTGAATAATTGAATAATTATTTATGCTCTAATATTCTTACTAATAGTATCCATAATTTTTGTTTTTTTTTTGACATTTTAAGTTATGAACCAAAACGCGTGCCATGGTCGAATGCACTTCTCCGTGGTGTACCATAAAGTTAATAAAAGAGTTATCATGGTTCTTACGCAAAAGGACCAAACATTTCGTTAAGAAAAACCGAGAAAGACCCGATCTAACAAAAAAATTATAATAAGGGAACCCTTTATATATAAAATCTCTCACTTTTATGCACGGCTTTGTAAATTAATTAGTTAAAACGAATTAATTACATCATTGAAACCTTTCAAAGTGCTAGGTACCTGTGTAAATCAAAATATTGAAAATACACACCTTCTCCTTTGTACGCCATTACTGTTACAAGATGTAATAGTCTGCAAAACCTCCCGACTATCGTGGTTATTCATCGTTGCATATTCATCTGCAAAAAATTGAATTCATCAGTTTTGTGCTTGGCGATGATTAAAAAAGAACTTGTACGCGGGTCGCTCCGAAAATTTCTGCAAACTATGACAAAAACTGCTACTTATTTTATTGGTTTTCAACATATTTTCCTTTTAGCTTAAAACATTTATCCAGTCGATGAAACCAATCGTGAAAACAGTCACGCGATTACTCTTGAGTTACTTCCGATACTAGATTTTTAAAACTCAAGCACGGGATCATTTGAAGCTAAAAAACGACGACCAAGTAATTTTTCTTTGAGTTTAGAAAAAAGAAGTCCTACGGGATTAGTTGGGGACTATAAGGTGGATAGTCCAGTAACTTCACTGTTGACTGCTTCAAACTGCATTGTGGGAAGATGCATTGTAATGATGCAAGACAATGTTACTTTTTGGGCGCATTGAACGAGCTTTTTGATAAAACCAGTCGTGTACTATTGAGCAATTTGTAAATACATATGTTAACATATACCAAAAACAGATCAGATTGTTTTTGTAGTTTTCATTGCATCAGCTTGCAAAAATTTTCGGAGCAACCTTTTGGAACTATATTAAATGAACTCATTTACGATGACCAAGTTAGCAGTAGTGAAATGGAATGATAGACGCTTTTGGAGTATCATCATTTTTTGTGATAATCTACGAGAAAGGAGTGCCAAAAGTATTAATTTGAATTGGAATGAACTTGAAGAGATCGAAGGTTTTATAACTATGGTAATTTTGGAGCTGCAAGTATCACACTATGATAGAGGCAACATCTTCAAAACGGTGAAACTAAGATCGTCACAATTCACCCACCCACGACTCAGTGGTCAGTCATATTGGATAGTACTCACATTTCGATTCTTTCCTGCTATCAATCTTGTAATGTTTTAGAAACGCTTTGTTTCAACAGCAATTACTATTTGTCCCTAGAACCTTTGGAAACCGTTACACGATAAAAAATATAAAAAAACAGCCCCGTCAATTCCTCCCATTATTTTTTTATTTATTTATTTCACGCCTACGAAGCATTCACATAAAAGAAGCTCCCATTGGAATCTTAAAAATTAAGCAATGTCTAAAGTTAAAAGTAGTAAAAACTTTGACTCAATAAATTGCATGTATACTATTCTATACGGATAGTAGGCTCGGGTCAAGCTATTACCACGCTCTTATTTCGGTGATCGAGACAAAATTGCAGTGTAAACAGAAGATGCTGGTATGCTATTGGTTTAAAAGGGACGCCGATCGCGGCAATTTCGTTGGTTCCGTTTTGACCTTCATATAAGTAGGGAAGCGCATAGCGAGCTAAAGGAGAGGTTTACCATTTTTAAAGTTGCGAAAGCAGTATTAGTTTAAAAAGTGAATAATTAGCGGTCGAGTGACTATATAGTTAAGGTGTAAAGTTTAATTGTAAAATGTGTAGTTTTTTTCAATACAGTCAACTTATAATCGGTTAATAAGTGGAGGATTAATTTTTGAAGAGGTAACAATCGCTTAATGGCGGAGATAAAACAAATGGGTTTTGACATGAGATACAGGGTCCCCAAATTACATGCATTAAAAAGTACATGCTAAATATTTCGGAGTGCGTGTATTTAAAATTATCTATACCGAATTCCAATGGAAAAAAACAATTAAATACGTGGCTACCATAACAACGATATACGTAATAAAAGAAAGTTGAAGAAGTGTGCTTTGCACCGACGCATCAATATTCGTAAAATGCGCCATTAATATTTTTAGCGCATTTTTGAAAAAAATACGCTATTATATTCGTCATTGCTGGCAGGCCGGCTGTCCGCGTTAGATCTCCACAACTACAATAGCTAGAGACTTCAAATTTTCACTAAAAGCTTTCTGCTATAGTGTAGATGTGCAGGCACTAGTCTATTTTGAGTTAGATTACTTGTGAGATCGATAATTGAAGAAAATAATTTCGATATGGGTTTCGGAGGTGCTATAATTTTACCGTTAGATAGCGCTACCAGTATAAAAACTTATTATTTACTTTGCGATTTGTTTTACAAAATGAAGACGTACCGTCAATTGAAATTAAATAAAATTAATTATTTAACGCAGCCAAAATTACTCGTGAGATCGATAATTTTAAACTTCGCTAATAAAATACTGACCTGTATTACCAAAAATGCGCTTTAATCATGCATATGCTGATTTACAACTTGTTTTATTATACAAGACGATAAAGGGATATTTTAACCATTGAGTGAATTAACTTCCACGAGGTGCCTTTATCGTCGCGTATAATACAAAACTATATTTTATAGCAGAAGCCATATAAATCATTGTAAAGCTCTGACTGAATTAAACTTAGACGTCAAAAATACCAAGCTTAGGTTGTGCAGTCGCGGTCGTTTCCATAGAAACAGCATTGCCATATGTTCTGAACGTCATTTTATATCGTGATCCGTATCCTATTTGAAATAAGAATACTCCAGGTGCGAATATTTCGACGCGAATCCGGGAACGAATATTCTTGGAACATACAGTCCGCATACAGTATTTTTAGGGTTAATATTCCGAGGCATTGCGGGGCGATAATCTTCCGGAGTCGAATTTTTAGGAAGTCAAATTTACCTGACGAGCTAGTCTTTCGACCATAATAATATACAGGGTGTCCCTAAAAGGTCTGTACAACGCGCTACCAGGGGTTCTTGGTATCAAAATAGGACGATTTAACCCAACTTACCTCTATCCAAAAGTGCCTCGGTAAGGCGCTATCTACCGCCAAAGATTAAAAAAAAAAATCGTTATTTTTATTTTATCGGAAAATGGTTTTGCCGATTAAAATGAAATTCGGGATGTGAATATCTAATGTAAAAAGGGTCTTTGTGATATCATCGTTTTGATTGTAGTTGCTATGTAGGTGGTAAAATACTGACCATCCACATCTGAAGAGGTCTAAAACTTTTTAACTACTATTTTGACGGTTCTGAATTTTTAGACACTGATAGACAGTTTACTTGCAAGCATTTTTTGTCTCTTGATGAATATCGCTATCTGTGATGGTTTACGAAAAAAAAATTTAGGCATGATGAATGGCATGCACCATACATGCGATTGTTCCTCAAAAAATCAGAAGATGGCTGTGAAACCTTAGAGTGGCGTAACGTTTGTTTGTTGTTTCTTAAACTTGAAAATTTACGTTTTGCTTGAAGACTTAAAATTTCATTGTTAAAATTGTAATATGGCCTTTCAATACAGTAACGCAAAGTTAACTGATATGCTATTAGTGTTTGGATAGTGTCGTGGAAATGGTCGCCAATGCGTTATGTAGTATACTCACAGGTTTCCAAATCGTCATAGCCTACTTCTTGCTTGCACTTATGGTTTTTGAGGAACAATCGCATGTATGGTGCATGCCATTCATCATGCCTAAATTTTTTTTCCTCCTAATGTGTTGGTACCAAAGCGCCCTGTAAACTCATCTCTCAAAAATCCCACGTTTCTTAGCAATTTTGGTTTAGATTTGATCCTTTTGTTTTTAAATTTTCATTTATCACCACCTCTGTTATTTTCTTTCGAAGATTTCAGGGACGGTTGTTTGCTGGGGGACTCCTAATCTATAGTACCAAGTTTTCTGTGAGGTCGGCCGTCAACCATACTACGTTTTTTAGGTATTCTGGATTAAGGGTGGATCTTTTTGCTTATAAATCGTGATTTTTTCGGTTATTTTTATTTTATCTGACGGATTTGAAATGCAACTGTTCTCTGGGAGTCCCATAATTCTTAATCTGTTAGTACCAATCTCGGCAATTTCAGGTCATTCTTTTTTTTTCTATTCCTTTTAATTTTAAGTGACATAATTTGAAAGGGGTTGCTCTTATAGACCTTATAACCTATTAGTACCGAGCTCCCTATGAACCCAACCCTCCGAGAAATTGTTGTTTCTTAGGAATTCCACTGAAATAGTTGCAGCTTTTACCATTTTTCCCGACCCCTTTTATTTTAGGCCGTGTAATTAACAACTTTCAGGGCGGGGCTATATTATGTGGGGTCGGCGACATCTGGGCGCCATCACCGAGCGAAGTTTACTAACGTGGTGATTTTTCAGTTTTTTTTTATCTTCTTTTACAGTTTTGGTCTGATTGTTTTCAAAGTGGTGTCGTCGGAAAGATCATGTAAACGCGCACAACTCTTGCGCGATGGCATGTTGTTTTTTTTCCTGGGGGCGAAGTTAACCACCTTCTTCGAGGGATAGTCGACTTTAGGCGCACAACTGTTTCTTTTCGCTGCGAATTATTTCACGCGGTTTCTTAGAGTTCGAATCTCGATCTCTCTTTCTCTTGTCGACAATAGAAGCTCGAAGTATTACAAGTGTTCAAAAAATTGATTACTATTTTTTGGAGGGCGTTTAGCGAAATGCACCAAGATGGCGCATTTATATGACAGTAGGGGGCGGTGGTCAGAAGTGGTAAGGAATATGGTAACCTCCGACAAGACTGATGGTTGGGTCAAAATTTCATACTCGAATTGCGGGTAGACGCGACGTCGAAAGTAGGGGGAACCGACAAAGGGAATAGGTTAGCCTCCGATAAGATCTGTCTGATAGAAACGAAATTCAGTGCAGCAAAGAACCATTGCCTGCTTTTACACTGAACTCTAAATATTACAAGAAAATACTAATGAAATCAAATTTAGATAATAAATACAGAATGACAATGCGGAACCGGCTGTTTTTATAACGCATAGTACGAAACTTATTAGAGTGGGGCAAGTGCGACGTTAACAATCACTACGCAGCGGTTTTTTCGCACTCACTGTAACATTGGTATGCGTGGAGCTGTTCCATGTCTCAATAGAAGATGGGTAAAGAATCTAAGAACAACAGGCTGTGTAATGAAAAAAAAAGCAACAAGTGTCAAAAAGAACGGTAAGAACTCCCGAACACGCAGAGCGAGTACGAGAGGTGGTCGTCAGAAGTCGTACACGGTCCGCCCGAAATCGTACAATTGAAATTGGACGGTTCCGAAACCCCAGGTCCATTCAGTTCTGAAGGCACTTTGTGATAAGCATATTCGATGTCTTCCTGGGCACCCAAATTGTAATTTTTTTATTAATACAACAATAAAGTTTTGTCATTTTACCTCTCAAGAAAAATTTCCGCGTTCCACTGGTGGCAATTTCCGCTTGCATAATGATTCTATTGGCTCCTTATTAAATAATGCAGTTTCTATTGGACAAGAATAGGTATAGGTAGTGGAATTTTGAGCAAAATTATAAATTAATTTTCCTTTTCTTATATTTTTTCTATAAAAGATTAGTTGAATTAATTGCACATCTATCCTTTTTTTGTTAAAAATGTATGTGTACAATAATGTTTCACCGAAAGACGTTATCTTCCATAATGATATTAAAAATGTACATACATCTCAAACCAACGATGTATTGCAATATTCAACATAGATGACACGCTTCCCCGTGTGACATAAAAATGCATTCGGAATTTAATAATTTATTATTAGGTTCTCTCGTTTTCCAAAATCGATTTCGATTTTCATGAATTATGTGACAGAAAAATCGGAGAACATATGCGTATTTATTTTATCATTTATATGCCCAATAAAAGGGGGATCTCCAAATTTGAGTAAGCTTACACGGCATGTTTCTCAAGGGACCAATGCAAACCCTCCAGGACACACAAGTTGCACGTGGCTTTACTTATCACCCTTGAATTATACCATTATCAATCATATAAACAACAATATAATTGAATTATAATCATACATTTGGTGGGAACAATGTTGCGAAAAATTAGCCTTCGGGCGTATATTATTTTTAGTCTAAACCCCAAGGCCAATAAAAATAATTATTTATTATAATAAAACAATTCACTCACCTGCTTGATTTAACAGAAAAGCTCGACCGCACAAAATTCGGGTTACGGTTACGATAAGTATAGATGTTTGTCAACTGATGTAAAATAAAAGGGATGATGCTCCAGAAGCTCCTGCAGCATCCCTTTCGGGTTTCAAATTCGGGACCTCCTCTAAACCAATCGTAACCTTTCATCACAAAGCTCCTCCCAAAATCAATACCCTTATTATTAAGGTAATTGTAATTGCATAATTTTTATCAATTGCTTCGCATGTGTTGTCTATAAAAGCGTTTCGGCCACAAACGGTACGACATTCTAAAATTTAAAATGAATCAATAGATAACATTCAAAATCAGAAATTAATATTCTACAAAATCAGTAAATTGCTTATCAAAGGGATACATATTTGTTAAAAAATAATGACAACTATTTACAAAGGATTTACAATTTGATAAGAAAATTTCCTTTATCTGACCGAAAGTTGGTAAGGTGATGCTTTTGTGTGTCACTACTTGTCAAAAAAAAAGCTTTAAATAAAGCCATTCGTGAGGTGAGATTGTGCAAGGGAAAAAAATTGAATATGTGCCTCAGCAATTCATTTTCGTGATATTTGCATTTCTTTGTTTGGCAGGGTTCAGCATTCGCATTCAAAGTCGTTCAAATCCCGTGTGCCAATGGAAACTGTTTACATTTTTCTGGCAAAATTCAGGGAATAAGCAAGCAATCTTAATGACACTATAAAGACATATTAAGTACGCTGGTAAATTATAAATTTGCAATTGTTGATTATGATTCCATACTATTCTAATGTCTCTTTCAACGACCAATTGAATCGTGGTCCGAATCAGTTCGGTCATAAATCCCCTAAAAAAGCGTAAATTTCTTTTGGATTTTCGATCTGGATGATGGAGTCATTTCTTGAAAACAAGCTACTCTGTTGGTACTTTCAAAAGGTATTATAGTGAATTCGTATGGGCGAATGGTAGGTGTTTTTTAAACGATTTGTGCAAAACATCATGAAATCTTATTGATCAAACTTCTACATTTCGTAACGGATAAGCGTCCGGAAGCGTACGCAATTGACGACGCTGAGCCATTGCTGAGCTCTGCAGTGATATAAGCTTTCGACGATGACTCCAGAACGATTCCGAGGTTTTCTAAAATCTTCGGTACCATTGTAGCTTGAGTTATGGATATCTAACCAATTTGTTTTACCCAAAATCGTCCTGAAACCTTCATTTCCATGCCTACTTTCTGTCAGGAAATTTTAGTTTCCATAACAGAGCCAGAACAAACTACGTTTCCTGCCGATTGTCACTTTACCGGCCGCACCAGTGACATTGCTAAATGTCTATAATGACCCCTGTCATCCCTGACAGATTTACATTAATAAAAAGTTCTATACAAAAATTGAAATTTTATATTAAAATGCGATTTCCGGTAAAGTTTAATACAAACCTCGTCAGTAAAATGGCATTATCTGACTCGGAAATTAAAGTACTCGGTCCCGGAGGGGCCTCGCAAGTCGCACTTCAATATTTCCTCGCCAGTAATGTATCATTTTCCGGACTTTTATGTAAATAACTATTTTTGCCAATCTTGATTCCTAAAAATGTACTTTGCACAAAATTGTTTAGAAAGTGACTACTTCTTATCGCTCTGTATGCACTACCTATATGTTTTTCACAGATGTGAAATCATCTCATCCGTCAAAAGCGTCACGGCTCGAGTAATGTGCGAACCGAAAGCGTTATCATTAAAAACTAGTTTTTTCTTTCCATTCTTGGGATCTAATTGCAATATCAAAATTTTGTAGAACTTGTTCCATTGTCTCTACCTCCTACTTCTTCATTTTCTCACCCTTCGTTTCAAACATGGTTTGTTTCTGCCATTTTTTTCCTAACCTTATCAATTTGCGTTCGATTCATACGCTCTGATATACCATTCCACTGGGGAAATAATACGTACTTTATAGTTATGCCTTTAGTTTTACTCGTAGTCTTTACCGAATCCGGTGGCGCAGTGGTTACGTTGCCGACTGCTATTCGGTAGGCTGTGGGTTCGAAATCCCATTGCCGATTGCTCTATCTGGGGTTTTGTCAGAGGGTTTTCCTCAGACGTACGTTATTGCTTCGCATAATGCTAGCATTATGTTGAAATCTACGAGGCGAATGCTGGAGAGCAGTATATTCTCTCTCAGTACCCTAACTACGTTCCTTCCGTTCCCATCCTCAACTTTACCCATCCTTACATTCCCGTTCTCTAACTGAAGAGGGCCAGGAAATCCTTCGCAGACTTCCTCCGGTATCCTTCGGGGTGTCGAAGGAATGAAACACATTGACCTCTTCTTTTTCGTATTCTTTTGATTTTCTTTCACCGTCGATTCTTTATTAAATTAAGAAAATCAATTGTATTTTGCATTTGCACTTTGCATGTATCAACTTTTTCTGCTTCTGCAACAAACCATATCTTTTTCAACCACTGCGCGTCGTGTTCCGTTGCGCGAGCTTTAAAAAATTGATTATACGCTCGTTTCTTAATATACTATTTCACAACTTGATGTACAAGGATGTCAAGGATATACTAACCAGGCCTATGTTCCTTTGTGAAATTCCCTACATGTTCCTTTGTGAATTTATTTTCCATGCATTGATTACATTTTTCATACAAGATTAGTAATTTTGCCTCCATAGTTAAATGAGGTAGGTAACCTTCTATGCCATGCGAATGCACTCCACTGGAAATCAGTACGTACTGTATACAAAGTATTTATTTTGGTGCCTACACTATCAAAGTTTTGCTCAGGGTTTTACTCTTTAATCATTAAAGGTAACTGTTAATTCGCCTATTAATAACAAATTTTTTGACACACCTTTCATTATTAAGGCTGGGATATTTGTTTTTGTACCTTCACAAATTCTATGCAAGATTTCGTTCTTATGAGCGATAATTGTAACGGAAGCCCTAGCAGTTTATTTTTTTCGAATGTTTGTAGGGTTTTATGTTTTTTGAGGTGTGGAGTAATAGTAAGTATACAGGGTGGTTCCATTAGATAGCTGGGTATTTTAAATATCTATCTATCGAATTAAGCGTGTATTTTATTTCTGTAAGTTAGAAGTATAGAATGAGTCATGGGATTTTTTGAATTGCTTGTTATCGTGCCTGAGGTTCAGGAGAAATACGGTACAGTATAGCTGTCTCACATGTGGTCGTTGATAAATTGCTGATGTGGAGAAGCCTTCAAAGGATCATCTCGCAACCTAGCGCGTTTGTGCACAGGGCTACCAAGAAAGAATCTGAGATCACTTGTGGGAATACTTTCTGGGCCCTGCAAACTGAACAAACACATGCACTGCATGGGTTTGGTAGAATCACCATCTTGTAGAGGATGTTACATAGACGAGACGGTACACCGCGTAGTTTATGAATGTCCTCTAGCTAGTCCAACTGAGACCATCAATGTTGGGGGTATATCCTGGCAGAACATGGCAACGATTAGTGCCGCTTCCCCTTCCAGCAACTTTAGGTTCATCTCACGTGTGGGATGGCTTGAGTAACGTTGAGGGGTCGGACGACTCTAGTCAGGGAGGTAGTATAAAGGGCCCGAATTTATGGCCCAGAATCCAGATGCTGATGTGGAGAGGGTTCTGAAAAAGAAAAAAAATTAATTCGTTTTGAGAGGTGGTAGAGCGCAGTTAGCTTATTGCGAGTATAAAAAGAAAATTTCGTTGGGGGCTGACAGAGAGCTAAAATCAGAGGATGCTAGCAGGAAGCCACTGTTAAAACTCGCGAGATTTTTAAGCTAATGGTTGCTAAAGAGTAAAGTTCATAACCCCGAACAATTATGCGAGCAAGGTTACAAGGGATTCCACTGGGTGTCAAGAAGATTGTGGAAAATTTGTGTCAAAGTAAGGGAGTTTTAGGGCACAACACGTGAATTCGAATTAAATAAGATAATCCCAGAGCGTAGATGAGCGCTTCGATATCTGCGCATGCGCCAAGTTAAAGGTCACTCGATTCAGTTCTGTTCATCGACGGAAACAGGTTGGTTGATCGGTGTTTGGGTTGAACGACGGAAACAGATCTGTTTGTCGAAAACAGGTTGGTTGAGGAGAAACCTTTGCTAACTATTTGATCTCGAGATACCTTAAAACATGCACAGAGGTCAAATGAGTCACAAAAAATGACCTTGGACTTGGCGCATGCCCATAAAGGTAGGACGAAGTGGTCCTATACCGGCCTCGCTTATCTACTCATCTTCTATTTAGGATTCGTGGAATGGAACCAAAAACTTTTGACGTTAAACCCTGGCCCGTAGCGAAGAGATCCCAAGGAATGCTCGAGGAATTCAAAACCGAGTTAAATCGAAACGTATTAATTGCACACAAAGTTGTTTTACAGCAGAAGGGTAACGATACCGTCGCTTAATTGAATAAGTCCTCCTTACAATAAATTGTAGTTGGTTTTTAATTCGCATCGAATTTCTTTGCGATCGTTCGTATTGCGCAATATTGTTCTTTTAAAAACTCACGAACCAACTTTGATAATATCCAATGAATTTGTTTCGTGTTAGGTACCTTAAAACTTTTTGTTATTGCTGACAATGACAGTTTCTCGTTGCAAACGCGAAAGTTCTCACTTTAATCAAAATGGTCACGGGTTCCACACATGAATTTTCCCAATGGCAAAACCGTTTAAGCGCCATTTGACCTTGAGATCTGTCCATGCGCCAAATTCAAGGTCATTCTATTCGGGTTCTATTGATTTTTTAAAAATAGGTCTGTTAAAAGAACCTGATTCTTTTAAACGGACCTATTTGTACTGAACAGAACTGTTTCGGTTTAACTGACCTGTTTCCGTCGACAACCGAACCGGATCGAAGGACCTGAAACTTGGGCCATGCGCACATCTCAAGGCGAAGGTACGCTGAACTCGGCCTTGCTTATCTGCTAAGATGGTCCAGTTTTAAACAAGGTTAAACTGCTCAAGGGGTAGATTTAGGGGGCGTATAAATAAGGTAAAGTGTACATTTTTGTATTTGAATTCAATACAGACTGCGTCCTTCTAGAAACTTGACGATTGACGTTTAAAACCTTAAAGTAGTTAGAGCGCCTAGGTTAAAGTAACAAGAAGTTGG